ACAACATCTGAGTGGCCACTGGCTGGATCCTGGTGTGGAATTCCTCATAGGTTGTCAACGCTCCACAAATCCCCCGTGCTCCCAGAATAAAGTACCTTTGTCTTAGTGTGACATTTAAGACCACTCCAAGATGCCCCTCCTTCAACAGTGTCCATCCACCCAGAATACCCTTCTTGGATATAGCCCAAGGGAGGTATCTTAGGGCTGTCATTGCTGTAACAAAGCATAATGACCAAAACAATTGGGGGAGTAAAGGGTTTGTTTGGCTTTCACTTCTGCATTATAGTCCATCACCGAAGGGAATCAGGACAGGAATTCAAATAGGAGGCAGGAACTGATGCAGAGGTCATGGAAGGGTACTGCTCACTGGCTTGCTCAGCCTGCTTTCTTATAGAACCCAGGACCACCAGGGGTGGCACCACCCACAATAGACTGGACCCTTCCCTATTAATCACTAATTAAGAAAATGCAGACAAGCAAACAAAACAAAGCAGGTACATCTCTAAGTTTGAGGTTAGCCTGTTCTACAGAGTGAGTTCCAGGACAGCTAGGGCTACACAGAAAAACCCTGTCTCAAAACAAGCAAGGAAGGAAGGGAGGGAGGGGAGGAAGGCAGGAAGGAAGGAAGAAGAAAGGGAGGAAGGAAAGAAGGAAGAGAAAGAAAATAATCTACAAGCTTATCTAGTTGATTTTATGGAGGCATTTTCTCATTTGAGGCTCCTTCCTCTCAGATGACTCTAGCTTGTGTCAAGTTGACATAAAACTTGCCAGGACAGCAGTGGACCCCTTCTTGCTGGCCTACATGTCCCAAGTCCCTCAGGGGTGAACCCCCCCCCCCCCCCCCCCCCCCCCCCCATGTCCAGCCTGTCTAATCTAAGGGCAGCAGAAAACTGACCAGTGTGCTGTTGCTCTTAGGGAAACTGCCTCAACCTCTCTGAACTACAGGGTTGGGAGTTCCCTTGTGGGAGCGGGGAGTAGCAGGGTTCAGTGCCTCTAGAGAACCAGAGAAAGGTACTAGGAGAAAGTGAGTCCAGGAAGGCAGGTGGCTGGGCCTCACCTCTTGCCTAGTATCACATAGCTGGACACAGCTTCCTAAGTGACCTGGCTAAGTTCTTAATAGGGGTCTCTCCCTGGTGGAGCCTTGGACCTAGACTTTACTTGATTGTGACTGTGGCCTAGGTTAGGTACTTTGCTGGCTGGACAATGGCTGTCTCCTGTTGGCTACATGCTTGAGGTGATGCCTTTTAAATTTTTTCCCCCACATTCCCAAGCAAACGTTAGCCCTTCCTGAGGGATACATTTTTTTTTTATTTTTAATTAGAAAATTTGTTTACTTTGCAGTGCAGAAACTTATTCATCATTGAGCTGTACCCCAGCCTGAAGTCCACTCGGACCTTGGAGACTGAGTGGGGCCATATAGCA